GGTTCACTTGAAATGAGAATGAGAAGCAGAGCTGTTTAAAGCTTCTGAAAGGGAACAGTGTTGGGTTTTGGTCATTTCAAGCTGGTCATTTCAAGCCTAATTCATATATCTTTCCTTTAACTTAACCACAATTCCCAAAATTTTGACTATGAAGAGCTTGAAGCACACATAAGTGGAGAGGGAGGAAGCCTGCTAAGTATCACGAACACTGATCTGTGAACTAGTTGTCAATCAAAATGATGGTGACAAATTATTGATTTTAAAAAGTGTTGTTATATTGATTTTCATCTAAATGGCTTTTATAAAATGCAAGGTTGCTTAATTAAAAGAGTTTGCTTTTATGGTGTCTCAAGCCATTTTCACTTGATTCGTCCAGACACCTAGTTGATAAATGAAAACTTGCAGTGTTAGAGGGGAAATGCCTTGTGTGATTATGGCCATAGTTCCATACATGATTTCTTGTTGTGAGTGAAATGTTAACTCACTTTTCAGAATGGAAAAGTACTGAGAGCAAAGTGTACAGCAGAAGAACAGAAGAGAAAAAAACTAATATCTACCCAAAATTCTCTCCATTCAAGGGAAGATTTGCATTCCTCAGGTTTCAGAGTATTAAGTGAGGGTGCAGTGTAGGTGTGGTAAATTTGACAAAAACCTACTGAAGTGTTAAGTGCTCTGAAACATTTCTTACGAGTCTGTTATTTTAGGGCTTCAGCACCTCTGTAGTGACAAAAAGAAGTCTTGCTGTTGGTTGTGATTCCAGTGTGCTCCTGGCTCGCTTTGGTCGGAGAAGTTGCATCTCTTCATTTTAGGGTTGTGTCCTCTTTCAGTCTCATGGGCTGCAGTTCAGAGGTTCAATAACGTTTTTGGATACTCCTGGTATATTTTGATACTGTTGGTTGTTTTCAAGTGTCATTACGAGATATAGACAGCAGGTTTTGTTATAAAGCCAAACTCTGACCCACAGAAAGGATCTTGATTGAATGAATGTTGTAAAAGTAAATTTTTCATTATTAAAATGGGTCAAAGTGAGTGGTACAACTATGCTGAACTCAGGAGGCAATGCTGTACAAGATAGTCATGTAATTTGACTGAATCTATTACTTTTTTGTACACAAGTCTATATATATTGCCTATGAATACCTTACTATTGGTGCTAGTGATTTGAAAAGAGTCAAAATTTGTTTGTGGTGATGTTTTTTCAGAGGACATCTGCAAGAGAATATATATATAGCGAATCTTTGTAATTCACTTATATGTATGTGTGCATATACTAATAATACTTTTGTACAGTATCGATACCACTGCCCACGTATCAATATTCTTTCCGTTGTTTCAAGGGATTCTTATCTTATAATTAAGCAATAAAGTGAAGCAAGTTATATCTCTGAGTCTTACAATATAAAGATACGAAGGAAGTCAGTGAGGCATGGTTCCCTCACACTCAGAGCTGAATGTTGATGGAAAATTTATGTATAATTTTCACAGTGACCCAATCAGTCTTTTTTATGAAGAAAAAAATGTAATTTGGTGAGAAAGCAGACAAACCAAGTAACTGAGTAAAGATTCTGACATCAGTAGAAATTCCCTGTACCAGGTTATTGATATCAACCGAAAATTATTGTGGGAGAGTCTCATCTGCTGATTCTTTCAAACAATAGTCGATTTTTTCTTCTGTGCTCATTTTCACCTGATGGGGTGTCTATCAGCTCAGGCTAGCATGAGCTGTGTATCATCAGACATACCACTAATACATACCACCAATTTTTT